TACGCGATTTTTTCCGGCGGCGTAAGGACCGACGCTAGGCCGCCGGTAATACTATAAACCGCCGGTATTATTACCCAAACCGCCGGAAATAACCGCCGGATTTGGCTGTTTTTCCTGTAGTGTATACTAGCGAGCTGCATCAAGCTATCATAACTCACTTGAATTGTTGTTATACTCTATCCATTATGTATATATTAATCAATAGGGTATATCTATCTACTGATATAATTAACTTCTTAATAAAAAATATCAAACTCAATATACATGCACATATGTGATTAATTAATCAAATGCAAAGAATAAAATCTATAATATCCACTTCTACCCCAGTTATCATCAATCACATAACTCTTGTTACAATTCAACTCTTTCAATAACTATTGCTTTAATACCAAATATAATGCCCAAAGATCTAAATTGAAAAAATTTCATCTTTTATCTCTTATTTAATCTACTAGAGCTTCTATAAAGTCATATATATAAATCAATCATGTGAAAGAAAATTTATTAATTATATACATCAAAATCTTTAACTACATTTATTCATTAAAATCCGATTCACAATAGCTAGAAGATCGCTTATATCATCGATCTATCTTAATAAGTTCCTGACTACAAATGAATAAAATAAAAAATAAAAATTAAAAGAAAACATGAAGATCTAACAGCCTCACTCTATATAGCCCTGACCCATTTTCCTGACCTGAAATCAATCAAATCTAAATAATGAGCATACAACACAAAAAGCAACCAAAACTCATAACTGCATTCAATGCAAGGTCTCAAGAATCAAAATGCATGCTCAACATAATTAATATAAAATTAGTAGTCATCAATATGAAATAAACAATCAATATTAATACATCAAAAAATCAATAAGATCGATAAAATAAAAACCTATTAAGAAGAATAGAAATTTGTCAACATATAAGAAAATCAATAATAATCTATAAAATAATGTGAAGTGTCGTACAATAACATACGTCGATATGATTATCTATCAATTATATTCATGCAGATGATTTCATTATATGTTCATATGAATGATATGTCATGCGTACTTTTCTATCAGTATATTATACATGAACTATATTAATCTGTTTATCAATGTCTATAAGTGCATCTATCATATACTATGTCATAATATATCAGTTTCAATGCTAGTTTTATCAGTTCTACATCAGTTATATCTATCATTCAATTCATGTGATATCATGCAAATACAATTATGAATAGTAAGATGAAACATTCAGCTTTAATGTGATTTCATTCTTTTATCTATCATCTAGGAGTCTTATCAATTATTCATTATAACATTATATCATCATCATTATAACTTCATTACAAGTGGCTTTCAATAATTTATAAAGAGTTGTCACCCATTGCCCACCAATATAATTCAATCAATCAATTACGTGTTAACATCTAGAATTACACCATAAACCTTTTATTTTAAGGAAAGTCCATTAACCGACCCTCATTTGTAGAGTATTATATTTTAAGAGTCAACTCAAATTAATTATAATGTTAACAGTTAGTCTTCCTTACTTACATGCAAATAACAAATTTATTTTATATCAATCATATCATTTTCTTTGAACAATATAAGTCAATATCAGAATATGAAACATACAAATTTATGAAGTGCCAAAAATCTAAACGCTATTCATTCACTTTAGAAAATCACAAATATCAGCTGATAAATTTTAATAATATTATAGTCAAAATATTGATACAATCCATATCAATTAGATATAAAAATTTACATGATAAAAGTATGATAAATCAAGAGAAAATATATTTTTAAGGATTTGAAAAATATTAAATTCATTAAACTCAAAATTACTAAAAATCATAACATGATTCAGGTTACCTACCACGGCTAGAATAAATCTTAAAATTGAACTATTTAACACAAATGCTCAAAATCCCTCCTCTCTCCTCACTTTCCCCCTTCTTTTTCCTCTGCTTCTTCCTTACCTGCAAGTAAAGAGATATTGGGGAGGAGGTGATGGCTGAGTGAAAAAATTATATTAAAAATTATTTTCAATGTCTAGCACTACGGCGCTCCCATGGCCTAGCATCATAGCGCTCCCATGGCCCAATGCCGCATGTAAAACAACATTTTGCCTACTCAATGTTGAATTATTTCTAAAAATTGCATATAACTCAATGATGTTGCACCGACAAGCACAACACTGCAACATTCCTGCAACACTCCAGCTCAAATTTTCCAATTTTTCATTTTAAATTCATTTTCATAAATTTCAGGTTGTTTCATGCGACAGTAAGATTGAGTGGCCACCATTGGGCAGATGGTGAGTAATAAATTGTGCAATCCGTGAGAACTCTTGATTGACCTTGTAATGTCGGACTTCCCACCAAGTGTTCTATTGAGTTGGATTTATGATCCTTGGGCTAGCTCATTTGTGACCACACCATGCACAAATTTCATCAATTACAACCCATCAGCTACCTGCTAAATACCTAAAAATATATATACAGACAATAGTTCAATGAATTTGAGCAAAATTTTACACCCAGCATAGAAAATAACATCTGTTTATTTATATTGATAAACATCTGCCTATTGTTTAACAAATTGAATTGCCAATAAAAAACACTATACAAAACTCATTTTATGATATTTTAATAATAGCCAACTTACTCGTTCCATTCACTTTAAAATTATGTTATTCTAATCGAAAATCATAATTATAATAAAAATTAACGCTGTAAATTAAACCAATATTCTCTACAAAATAAATTTATAACAGGTGGATGTAAGTACACGATGATTATAAACTATATACGAAGCTCCAAATCATAAAAATAAATTAAATGGCGCAAAAGTAAGAACACCTGGAGTTGAAGAACCAAAACAGAAGCCAAAGATGGAAATTGTTCAGACGACGTGAGCCTCTAAGGATTTCCAGATTTCACAGCACTCCTCATCCTCATCCTTGGACTTGTTCCTTCCTGATAAGAATTGATCTACAGAAGATGAAGGTAACTGCATCAGATCCAGTGTTAGATGGTTACCAGATCCATTGTTCACTGGAGCTGCTGGTATTTGAAATGGAAATTGGTGGTGGTGGGGATCATAAGAGAGTGAAGCACAAGATGGTTGAGCCATGAAGGGCAAGCTACTCCGGTCAGAAAATAATTGCTTGGCAAAGGATGTAGCACGGTTCTCTGCAATTAGTTCTCGTAGAGCAGCACTTGATCGAGAGGAAAGCTCGGGAGCGGACGCCCATGGAGTGGCAGTGGATGACAGAAGAGAGAGAGCACTAGTAGGGGAGTTTGATATGATGGGGAATCTGGTGCTCATTATCGTGCTTTCTGCAGAACAAAAAACAGAAATAAATATCTGGTTGAATTGAATACACACATAAAAGCCGGGTTAGAATTACTGCTTTTGATGAAATTTTTAAGGAGGTTTAAATTTTCTACGTATCTCCTAAGAATTCATGAGAATGTTCAAAATTCTGTGACTTACTCAAATTTTTCTATGTATCTTATAGTATTCTATTAAATATTGAATAATTAATGGAGTAATATCTCCAGTCATGCAAGCAAAAAAATATAAATAAAAAAAAAATTTGTTTGAGCACCCAAATTCTTCCTTCAATTTGGTATTTGGAGGAATTCCAAGCTCATTCAAAGCGACAAATACAATGAATCATAAAAAAATAAACAAAAAATAAAAAATTAAAAAAAAAATAAAATAAAATAAAAAATAGTGGCGGTTCACCAATCAACGGTTTAATATATATTTGAAGGAGAAAGGCTACGAATATTTGAAGATCAAAATGAAAAACATCAAGGTTGGGAGGCTCGTGATTGAGAATGTTTTATCCGGATAGGATGCAATATAAGGTATTAAAATTTAAATCAGGGTTTCAAAATAAACTTTTAAGGCCTTTGAAAGTAACAACAAACTAACGAAGCCTGTGACATCATGGGAAGTGAATTTCATAGTAATGACAAGATAGAATATGTCACTCTGCAAACCCTTAGAAAATATTTTCTATGTTTAAAAGTAAGAGATACTAAAAATATTTAAAATTATCAGGCAATACATAAATGAAGTAGCAAAAATCAAGCTCTTGTTCCTCCCCATGGATTTATTACAGTGTATAAGATGATATGTGCAGGGTTAAAGTTCTCTCCACTCCCTGAGCTACTCGAGATTTTCAAGGCGTTTGGTGTCGCCTTGACCCAATTGTTCCGCAAAGCTGATGATTATTGTTGACTTAACGGTTTGCTTCAGGGAATGTGGGGCAATGCTGACTGTTGAGCATTTATCAAAGATGTGTAAGTTTCTAAGTGATTCTCAAGGGTTTGTTTCATGCCAGGGCAACAAAAAATAATTGAATTTTTTAACACGCGACCCTTCTAATAATTCGTCCAGCTCGTTATTTTTTAAGAAGAATAAATGAGTTCTTATTGAAATATGAGGGAGTTTAAAAGAGCTACTAAACTCACAAACCTATGAGATTAAAAAAAATTAATTTTCCTATTACATAAAGCCTTTAACATGAGTTTAGTCAGTGTGTGATGGAGGAGAAACATTTCAAAGTTGATCTTTCCATTCAAAGAACAAGATCTCAATAATTCGGTTAAAAAAATCTAGAAAAAAATTGTTAAGCAAGTCTCGGGGCTTTTAAGTTTTCATCTAAAAATCCTTCAAAAAGTTAAAGGGAGGATGGATCTTCCTCCTAGAAGAAAAGAAAAGCAACATTGCTAAGCGATGGCGAAGGATGTAGAGAGGTTGCCCGTCCTTTGATGATTGATATTATTATCCTTAATTTGGATAGTTGGATCCGACCCTTAAAAGTACCACCCCCAGAGAGGTATTAAAGCATGTCTACATAGAATGACAATGCACAAATGAAAAGATTAGTTATCTTGATCCCCACTCTTCTCCTCCTTTTTTTACATATTTTAACATAATTGTATACGTACTACAGACGATCCAAAAGATGCACATAAAAACACGATTTGAAACACTGCTGGATGAGTGAAATGTTGACTTTGTGAAAGTTAAATATTTCCAATAAGGTTTGAACGCTCCAACATGTTGAAGTGATCTGGATTTTGGCGAAGGTTGAATGCAAAGATTAAGAAGATGTCATCCTTGAAAAACCAACTAACAGGATGAAGAACTAAGAAGGCGACGTTGTCTACTTCTCTTTCCTTGCAACACCTAGTAGCTGATCATTTTTGTAATGAATAGATTAATTGTTCTTGTTATCTTTCCTTGCAATAAAAATTGAGTAATTAGGTATGATTCTAATCAACAATAATATAAACCAACTTATGATTCAAGATTATATTCCTACATTTTATGGGAGATGAGTAATTTGCAAGTAAATTAATAACTAGAAATATTTCTTACTCAACTTCTCAACGTCTGATTCACAAAGAATTGAACGTGATAAATCAAAACTAGTGATACATGTTCAATCATTTTGATAAACTATTTCTAAAAAATTCACATGAGCTAAAGAAAAGCCAAAAGAACAATAATCAGGATTTTCTTAGTTAGGGTCTAGCTCTATAGCAGAAGATTAAAAGATACGTTTTTCCAATTCTATAAAGTAGCAAAAGATTGGTGAATTGTTGATCTCCAATTTTGCACTAGCAGGATTTGGAGAATTAATATTATTTTACTTTGACAATACAACAATTTAGGAGGATTCACTGAAAGCAATACCAATAATTTATTGCATTTTTTTTTAATTTTGGGATTCTATGAAGCAACCCACTTTGGGTCCTTGTGATTATAAATAGATTTGTTAAGGCACATAAAAATGCAATCTAGGACTAAATGAAAGATTTACTTCCCACTAAAACTTGCATTCGATTTGAACGTAAATTCTTTGAGCAAGGTTGAAATTGGGACTACTAAGTTCTAGGGGTCCGATGTAAAGAACTCTTCTTGTATCAACATCAAGCCTGAATTTACACTTCCGTGGTCCCTTCTTTGATCTCTTCCTCTTTAATATTTTAGTAATAAATTTACATAAAATTGAATTTGGCCAAATCTGTATTTTTTTTTAAATTATGGTATGAATGTTAATCATCCTCTGATTTTTATTGATCTCAAAATTTGTTGGCTATTTTAATATTGTACTTGCCATACAACATAAAATAACCAGCAATTGTTTGGTATCTTTTGTAGAATATCAAGATCTTGTAACTGACCAGAGAACAAGAACAGAGAAGAATAGAAGAGGAACAGTAATGAGATTATTATTATTGTCTGTCATGAATATACTTGTACACGGATATATATAGAGTTTAGTAAGTAACCGAAACACAAGTGGCTACACGATGAGTATTACAAAGACTATTAAATATTTATGTGTTGCTGCTCTAATACGGCCCCACAAACTTAGGATTATGTAGTGATAGTAAGTTTGTTGCGCAGCAATTGAAACCGAGGCGTTGACATGGATTTGGTGAAGATTTCAGCCACCTAATCAACCATGCCAATAGGGAGAATTCTGATGTGCTGTTGATGAATATGGTCCCGAACAAACCTGTGATCGATTTCAATATGTTTGGTTTGAGCATGGAACACCGGGTTGTTTGCCAGGGCGATTGCCGATGTGTTATCGTAGTAGAGGTCAGTTGGCTTTTCTTGGTGTATGCCGAAGTCAGTGAGGATACGACGAAACCAAACTATGTCAGCCGTGAGAGCAGCTAAGGCCCTATATTCGGACCTGTGGATGAGCGTGCCACGGTTGCTTGCTTTTTGACAGTCCATGAGATAAGGGAGTCACCTAAGAACGAACAGAACCCGGACATCGATTTCCTGGAGACTGGATCACTTGCCCAATCCGCATCTGAAAAGGATGCGAGGCACAAGTTAGATTTCGTAATTGGTAATTCGTAATCGATCGTACCTTTGATATAGCGTAGTAATCTCTTGAGGAGATAAACGTGTTGAGGCATAGGCTGATGCATATGCTGAGACAGATGATTCACGCTGTAGGAGATGTCTAGTCTCGTGAGGCACAAGTACTGTAGAGATACGGTGATTTTGCGGTAGGTGGCCGGATTTTCCAGAATTGCATCCGGTGGAAAAGCAGTGGGAATCTTGGTACACGTTGGGTTTGATAGTGGGTTGCATAGTTGAAGCTCAGCCATCTGCAATATGGAATTTGCATATGGTTTTTGTGACAGAAAAAATTTGTCGGTAATCTGTTTGATTTGAATACCCAAGAACGAGCTGGCCTCACCCAGAAGTTTCATTGTGAATCGAGTATTCATATTACATATGATTTCTTGAATTTTTGCTGAGTTGTTTCCTGTAATGAGAATGTCATCGACATAAATAAGCAAGAAAATGTGGATGCTAGAGTTGCGGAATACTAACAGAGAAGGATCGGATTGACTATGTGTAAACCCGATTGAAATTAGAAAAGTAGTGAAAGTATTATACCATTGACGCGGAGCCTGTTTTAGACCATAAATCGCCTTGTGCAGACGACAGACGTGATTAGGATGGATGGTATCTTAGAAACCTTTCGGTTGACGCATGTAAACCGTTTCTGTTAACGATCCGTGGAGGAACGCATTGGCAACATCCAATTGTTGGACGTGCCAGTCGTGATGCAATGCAATTGCAAGCAGAATTCGAATCGTAGGTAGCTTCGCCACAGGACTAAACGTCTCCGTGTAATCAAGTCCATACTCTTGATGGTTACCTTGTGCCACGAGACGAGCCTTGTGTTTGGCTATCAAGCCATCGGAGTGAAATTTTGTGCGATACGTCCACTTGCATCCAAGTGCAGTAGTGTCAGGTGGTAACTTAACAAGGCTCCACGTACCTTGTTTGTGTAAGGCGAAAAACTCAGCCGCCATCGCCTGCCTCCATTCAGGAAACCTGTTGGCTTCGGTATATGTTGTTGGATCAGATGGACAATCGTTGGATTGTTGACTGTGTATTAGATTGAGACGAATGTTTGGTTTTAGAGATCCTGTCTTGTAACGAGTGAGCATCTGATGAGTAGGCAGCTGCTTCTGAGATGGCACAGATGCTGGAGGCGGATGCGGAGAAACGTCAGGACCGTTTATTGTTGGAGTATCAGCGGTGTGCGATATAGGAGTAGAACGATCTTGAGTTGTAGTTGAGGATTGAGGGATCTTATTTGCGTGCTGAGAGGCCGATGTAGGCGTAAGAAATAGTGGCGACAGCTGTGTAAGCTCAGCAGGTTTGTTAGACGTGAGTTTGGAAAACGGAAAACAATTTTCAGTAAATGTAACATGACGAGAGAATGTGATTTTGTTACTATGTAAATCAAAACATTTATAACCCTTATAAGTATCCA